ATGTTTGAATAACATGAAATAAGGTTTATATTTTTTTCTATATTTATTTAAAGTGAATTTTGTATTCAGAAAATATTCATTTGTTATTATAAATTTTGAAATATTTGATACTGCTTGTTCAAATATATAATTATATTTTGAGCAAAGGATATATCGTACTTATTATGAGCGAATACAGAATCATATAAATCTTGTTCATTTTTTTTCAATCATGCTCAATTATTGCTTATTCAATAGTATTTGCTATGAATAAAATTAAAATTTTGTAATCATGATTGAAACTTTTAAATTCAATCTATTATTTAATAATGAAATATATATATGTTAGCATTCAAATTAAGATTACGTTCAATTTCGGATCGAGGAAGAAGTTTTGTTTAAAAACTCCATTACTCTCTAGACGGATGTTGGATTCGAATTTTTGTTAGTGAGCTGTGTTGAAAAAATGGCATTTCAGGTATTACAATTATCAATGAAGAAATCAAGTTCGAGCTCAGACACTTAAATAGATAATTTTTCATAAAATCTTTTCCTCTCGAGAAACTTATCCATTATCAATATACATTGATCAATGCAATTATATAATTTAATACACTTCTGTATGAGAAAAGAAAAGAGTAATAAATATTCAATCGTGTACCGAAGAAAATCGATCAATGATTTTTACCAATGTCACTTTGATTAGTAACCAAATCTTATCTGTACATCATATTGCATCTTATTTGCTTGAATTAAAAGCCGTTCTCTCTCGTACTAGCTTGCAAGTGTTTAGTTTCAACTGATATAGACTTGATATCGATGATGTAGTATGGGGATATCGTAGGACATGAAGATGTGACTCACTTCATCTAGTCATTGCCAGTCTACGGAAATCCTTGTCAATATTCGCATTGTGAGTCCTATCGTTTCGTTTGTAATCTTCATCTGCATCCACTGTTTTATTATGAAATGAATGAAAGTTCAGCTCTCTCTCTCTCTCTCTCTCTTCTTCAATCAACAACAAAAGTATTTTTTTTCATAATTGCTGATGTTGACATCAATATTTTTCTAAGAATCGAAAATCATAGCACTGTGTTCGGAAAACATAGTGAAATATTGTTCTACTTACCGTATTGGGTCTCATGATATTGTTAGCTTAGAATGATCAGAAAGCATTTTTCTAGAAGAAATTTCAGAAACAGATATTCAGATGATTTCGAAACTGTTTTTATTGTAGAAAACTGAGAAATATATAAAGAATATTCATTGCTGCCCTATACTGAGGAGAGTGGGTGAGTTAGCCATTATTTTATTTCTTTTATGTTGTCAATATGTCTTATAGACTCCTTTTATTTTCTATCACCTGAGCGTGTTCCTACGTGAAAGTAAGATGCAACAGAATTATTCATGGTAGCGGCACAAGAAGACAAAATCAAAAAAGATTTGCACGAGAATAAAAAATAATCGACGCTTTGGTGACTATAAAGCTCGGGTGTTACTGTTGAGTTCTGAATTTCAATGCTTAAAAATGCAACTGTGTGCACTCATAGATAAGATTCCTTATTGCTCTAAAAGATTTCTGAACGTGCCAAACTTCTTGAGCTCTTCATTGATTTCATACTCAAATGATATGCTTTTCCACAATCGTGAAAACCAGACATCCATAAGTCAAATATGCTCCGTACACAACTAGTGATGAATTCTATTTTTTTGATCAGATTCTTGTTATGACATTCGAAAGCTTGAGATCATGAGCATACTGGTTTACAATCCTTCACTCAAAACTTTCTCATGGAGCGGTCAATTATCACTGAATCTCTCTATATACGAAATATATTTTATTGGTACTAACTTGCTGTCACTATACAGGATTGACAGTCAACAGGTAAATTGCTAGAAAATTCAAAATTGAAATGAATAGCCAATTGGGAATAAATCTCACAATAAGTTGCAGATTCGCTAAAAAATACCTTTTAACTACATAGTAGTAATAGTTAGCCATCGAAAACTACGACTACTATGCTTATACAAAGCCATTGTGAACACTTAGTTAAGTATGAATACATTCAAATAAATTATCTTTCACGTGAAACTCTGAATCCTCTGATATTCAATATAGTCACAAGATGAAAACACTTCTCGCTTAACAAGGTCAAGCGTATTTATCTACTCAAAAAAAAACAGAGCTTTCCCATACATATATAGCATCATACAAATAATGCGAATGCAACTGTCTCAAAACGAAATCATCAGCGATCAATAATACACTTTCATCCGTTTGAATTTTTCGTCAATCGTTTTCCTTCTTGCTCACCGATTTTACTAGGTGTAAGTTGAAGTCTGGAGAGTGTCTCTGTAAACAGTAAAGATTTACAAAATGAAGATAAGTAGTAAATGATGTCTTACCATATGTTTTTGGGTGTGGGTGTGGGTGTGGCACCTTCGCTCTCCTTTTATTTCCAGAAAGGAAAGAAAAGAAAAACTTATGAGTTTTCTCTGGTAAGGGAAAGAAAGTTAGTGATTTTTTAACTTTCGTTTCCAAAAAAAGGAAGGAAGAGATGGTTGAAATACTTTAATGTTTGACTATATTGGTTGAGTTTGTGTGATCTAGTGCAAATGGTTAGAACAATCATTTATGGAGCGTTAACTTTAATAGCTATCTCTTTACTCTTTGTCTTCATTCATTTCTTGTTACTTGAAATCAACTGCTTTTTGCTAGTATTTTCTATCTGTTTTCGAAACATTGTTGAACCATTTATCGGTTTATGCCTATGGCAATTCTTTTGTATTATGGCTACTATTAATTTTTCATCATTGCACGTCATTGAAAGCGATAATGTTTGAGTTTTCTTTGACGTTGAATCTCGCTCAACTTTTCAATGATTATTTATTAAAAGAATGGATCAGGAAGAAATTTGTTTTGTCTTTTCTTGTGTTATATGCTGGGCAGAACTTACAGGATGTCTCATAAGTAGCACTACGATAAAAAATTCAAATAGTTCCACTCCGGTTCAATCAAATGGCCTGAGTTTTTGGACAGTGGTAGAACTTGATTCAAAATTTCTTTTCATATGGATAATGCAGATAAATACTTTCCATTAAGTATTACTGTTGATCACACACATGAAGTTTTATCTGTTATCCAGTAATAAAAATACATGCGAAGTGTTTCTGCGATAATTTTCACTTGTCATCTAAGAGAACAGCCAGAAGAAGTAGAACTCCTCTCATGAATGGTAGAACTTTAATGTGAACACATCAAACTTCTAAGATTATTTAGTTTAAATGCTAATATTCATGTCCGAAAACAAAGATGGACAATTAAAGCCTATTGAAAACCAAATCACCAACTTTCTTGAAACAATCAATGTTTCATACTTAGAAATTCGAAATATTGTAACCGTTGATTCTTAAACTAAATACTCCTAAAGGTTTGGTGTGTTTGCATTAAAGTTCTATCATTCACGAGAAGGTTTCGATTTCTTCTGGCTGTTCTCTTAGATGACAAGTGAAAATTATTGAAGAAACACTTCGCATGTATTTTTGTTACTGGATATCAGATAAAATTTCATTTGTATGATCAACAGTAATACTTAATGGCAAGTATTTATTTGCGTTATCCGTATGAGAAGAAATTTTGAATTAAGTTCTACCACTGCTCAACAAATCAGATCATTTGATCGAATCGGAATAGAGCTATTTGAATTTTTTATCGTAGTGCTACTTATGAGACATCCTGTATGTTGTAAAACGATCACTCAGTTACTAGAGTGTCAAAATGTATACGATTATCAATCATATGAGCATTTTATCAATATCTGAAGAGCATAAGATAATGTCTCGCTTTATTATTCCAATGCTTTAGTGTTATCTAATATACATACTATGACCTTTCAAACTAAATATCAAAGATCAAAATCTTAAATATATCTCCACACGGTCCTGTGGTGAAATCTCTCTTAAATTTCGATTATTGACAATAAAGAATCTGGATTTTGAATATTTGAGAGCAATTTTAAGTGAAAATTTATTTGACATTCAAATATCTGAATTTCATAACAAATCATTTTGAACAAATTATGAAGAATAAAAAAACCAGAAGTTTCTTTTCACACTAATTCTTGATATAGCTGATCGGAAAGTTGAATCTATGAACGAATTTCACTTTTATACAAGAGGAAATTTTCAATATTGAATATCTCAAGACGTGTGATACTAAAAAAGTTACAAATTGCTCAATGAATTAATCTTATTGAGAACTTTTTTCATGGAAAACTTGAGATTAAAACTCGGAAGTCGATTTTCCACGTGATTTGAAGAGAATCACAGGTTTTTGTTGAAAAATCCAGTGAAATTTCGATATCTCGAGAACGAAGGCCGAGAAAACCAAACCATTCTAGACTTTTCTATTGTTCACTAGTACTCATCAAAAGAACATCGTCTCAATCGAAAAGCAATTTGACATCAGAAGAGGTTTTCTCGTCAATCATTAATAACTGTTTCGCATTTTGAATATGGCAGGTTTCAATCGAAATACAAAATTGAACAAAATAGTATTGAGTGAATATTTTAAGACGAGACTTTCACGCCATAGATCATATTAACAATGGTAATGTTTAACGTTTTTATATGACAATTGCTACTAGTTCTAACAAATTCATACTCTCCAATCATATACGTAAGAATACTAACCTAAATTTTATTTTATTTCTAGCACTTGTAGATACATACATATATATATATATATCGACTTTTTTCAATTAATAATTGTTTCCTAGATATTTTCAATGTTATTATTGACAAAATATCTCAAACTCATAATTATTCAATACTAAAAATCATTTAAGTAAGAGATCATGTAAAATAGCTAAGCTAAAACTCGAATAGAATAAATTCAGCTTCGACAAGCACTAGAAATTATTTACAATTGATCTATTTATCGATCGTATAATTACTATATTGCCCGAATTATATATTTGAAAAATAAATAAGAGAAAAAAAGAATTTGAAATAAAACAAAATCATTCTTTGTCTTGTTGTTCTTCATCTTCATTATCATCATTACCAGTCACATCATCTGTTGGCATAATCATAGCAGCAGCAGCAGCTGCTGCTGCTGCTGAATTATCAATATCATCTTCCACTACATTAGGCAATACTATCTTTTTATCTTTTATCCATTGAGGATAATTTTTACAAGCATTATGTGTTAATTTTGCATAATATGGAATACCAAACTAGAATATACATATATATATATTCAATAAAAAAAAAATTATTCATAGAAATAAATTTTATACAAACTTTAGCAACCCAAGACCATGCTGCTTTAGGAAAACTACCTCGTGGATCTTCACAATACAAGAATATTGCTAAACAAAAACAAATAATAAACTATTTTAATCTTCCTTTTTCTTTTTGTAAAATATCAAATATACATTTCAAACCATTCGCACCATCCGAGCAAATTAATGTTTGTGATTGACAATTTTCAATTCGAATAATTTTTTTTCTTGGTGGTTCACTTTTAAATTGTTCACTACGTGTTAAAACATAATAAAAATGTCGATTATCAATATCATATTCATTATATTCTTGTATGAATGTATACTATAATATAAATCATTAGAAGAAAAAAAAATTAAGGAAAGTAACTATGAAAACTGTAAAACAAAAAAAAATAAATAAATTGAATTATAATACAAAAATAAAAAGGATACATCTCTATTGCTCATAAATAATGGCATAACAATTTGCCAATAAACACCATGTTTATCTTCATCACTAATTTTTCTTCCTTCTATAAGAAGATTTTTATTAATAGACAATAACATTGATAATAAATATTACCTTTAAGATATTTATCCCAAACTACTCGATATTCAACATCAATTGCTACTTTATAAAAAATTTCTGGTAATACATCTGGGAGATAAGAAAAACCTTTATAATAAAATAATTTCTAAAAAAAAAAATAAAACAATTATAATCATAAATGATTTTTGGAATTGAAAAATAAACTTTATTTGATTGTCGATAAACAGTTAAAGTTGAACTTTGTGAAAATAATTTCCAATCAGTTAAATTAGGTGTATCAAATTCTTGAATACATTCGTCTATACTTAAACATGGGTCCATCTTTCGAACGAGTAATGTTTCTTTATTTTTTGAAAAATAATTTTATCTTTTCTTATCTCATTGTTTTTCTACTATTTTTCACTGTTATCAGAAGTTTTTCTCCATACCCAATGTTGATAACCAATTGTGGTCCGAAGTCGTCAACATTGGAGGGATATCGTGATTCTTTTGTAAAGAGAGAATATCTTTCTTCTAACAAATATATAAAAAGAAAATTTCGGGTGTGCTAGAAAAAAATAAAAATTTTCCATCATTAGACAAGAGGAGTGGAGGCGGGTTATATTCTTGATATTCCTCTGATCGAGTCACTACTGTTGATAACAGTCTTAAAATGTAGACATTACTATTAAATGTTAAAGATATCACATAATAACTGAGGATAAATTAGCAACGATATTTTTATGCTTTTTCTTGATGTAGAGGGCTAAAATTTTTATAACATATATATAGTTAATCAAGATCTTTAATTTTCCAAAGTTTCAACTCTTTTACTAAAATTAACGCTGAAATACACGAACAAGATTACAATACATGAATTTTTGTGACATGGTAATTTCTTAACTATTGATATTTATAAATATCTGATGGAAAGAAAACTTACAAGAGAAATTTTTTCAAAAACGTAAATTATAATGAAATTTAATATGTATAAACATGTTCTTCGTTGCTTTGATATGATCAATTGTAATTAATAAGACATTTTGTCTATCACAAGATGGAGAAAACATACTTCTGTACTTCTCCATACTTTTTCGTTTTTTTCTTATGTGACGCAACTTGTTAGAAATAATACCAAACTTGAGTTTTATTTTGTGGTGTTCTTTATGATACTAATTCAATAGAATCGTCTTCTTTTCTAATTAATTTCAGAATTCCTTCTCGTGGCAAGATCTTTGCAGTCATTCCAAATGTTTCGGATACAAAAAGATATTCAAAAATTTAATCAATTTTAATTGTTCTGTCTAACATCTAACATATTCATTCACTCACTCACTCACTCACTCACAATACTCTCAAATCAGATATGATTCGTGATAGTAGACTAATTTTAAATTACATAGTATCTCCATACATATCACTGTCACTAATTTACAGGAAGAAAAATTTTCGAAGTTTAAAAAATTTGACTCCGCATATCTTTACTTTGCATTCTTTCATAATTCTCAACATGCATATTTGTTCCTATACAGTTTAGGGGATTTCTTTTACTCAAGCGATAAAAGAAAAATATAGTCAATTTCTCTTTGTAACATTGATTTTCATTGAAAAAATAATAATGAAAGCAAAACTTAGGGTAGAAGACGAAATGCCAGTCCTCTTTTTAGTATTTTTTTTTTCAGTAATATGTTCAAAGAGAAAAATGTCATGTTATTTCTCTATGTTGCATGCCTAAGAGAAATAAATACTAATATTCATGAAACATGATAATATCAATGTATGATAATATGAAAGTGACATACGAAATGAATCGATCATTGATAAGAAATAGAAGAACTTAAACAAGATATAGTTTCTATAGCATATATTTCCGTCTTTTTGTAGTTGTCAATAGCATATTTGATTCTGTTTATTTTCTTATGGTTTTTATTTATTTTTACTTTTTAATAAATATCTTAAGCTAACACAAATAGTCTCATCTTCCTCTAAATATTTCTATACTTCTCTGTACCTCAGAAGTGCACATATATGCTTCTTCCCTCGTGGTCTATTATTTTTACATATTTTTTTTTTCGAAAAGTTTTTTCACTCTTGTATAATTTTCTTTTTCTAGTTGTAATAATATATCAAATACTTTTTCGTTCTGTGTATCTCATATATTTTTAGTTCTTCATACATTAACAAATTTAGCATTGCTACCCTATTGATTCTATGCACTAATTATATAATAATGCTACAAGCTGTGCGAGCATATATTCCATATTGTTTTCAGACGATTTCAACTCAACACAAACTATCTATGATGTTTTTTGTTTTCGTAAGTAATGAACATCTAGGATATAAATTTTCCAACGTGTAACGCTGTGATTTCAAACAACATTAACAATAACAAATTTTACACTAAATTAAAATGAGCGTTGAAAATGGGATTTTACGTCATATCAGCAGAGAAAAATTCCTTTTGTGAGACAGTTCACACTAGATCTCATTTTTTAAAGATATGATGAATATAATCAATATGATGACCATTAGCGTTTTTACAGTAGAAAGATGAGATGAATACAAATATTAAAAAAATTTCAAATAGGTCAATGTTTGTTTCCAGTTTTCTTCAGCTTAATTTTTTGATTATTATTCCAATATTTCCAAGTCAGGTATTCAGTGCTTTGTGATATTCTTTATCATTTTATATGAGATCTAGTTTGAACTTTCTTATAAAAGGGAATTTCTTCTATTGATATGACGTAAAATTTTAGAAATTTTCTGAATTTGATACTGAAAAATTGTCATAAATTTTTACTATTTAGTACTGATAAATTCCATTTTCAATGCACGCTTTGATTTGAAATAAAATTTGTTATTGTTACTGTTATTTGAAACCACAGCGTTATTTCCCCTGAGAAAACATATTTATTCATGTTGTATGATAAAAATCTAATAGAACAACTTATGCCTGTTTATCTTCTATGTACTTCAGGATTAATTTTAGATAAAGGGCTGAAATTTTAAAAAATTAAAGATCCTGGTTAGGTATATATGTGATAAACATTTCAGTTCTTGATGTCAAGAAAAACTATGAAAAATGTTATTGACATTTTATCCTTAGTTACTATAGGACACCTTTGATATCGTAGAATATGATACAAACATATGATATGAAATACTCGTTGTAACTATGTCTGCCATTCTTTTTTTCTACGAAAATGAATAATGATTCCTTTTTTTTTTGTTTAATTCGAATCTGTAAAAATTATTTCGGGTAGTCAACAAACAAAAGATCGTGAAATAGAATTGGTTTGAACTCGATGAAATTACCTTAAAGGCAATATATTCTCCAGTATTGATGGATCTATTAGCATATTCTTGAATAATAATTAATCGAGAATATATTCTAAAAATCGAAGACATGAAAAATGAATAAGTTTAACATGTTCAACAGGACTGATTATATGTACTTAGGACATATCAAAAATAGTGACAGTAATACTTTAATTCCTTATAAAAAGTTTATAGATACTTCCACTCTATATTGACTGATAGTAAAAATGACAGTCTATTTTTCTTCACTATTCAACTAAAATCATAATAGTAAAATTTTAATAAGACCTCTTTGGCTATCAAATGCAATGACTATTTTGTTGTTGATATCTATTATCTTCTTGATTTTTTTCTTTGCTCTTCTTTCTCTCTTTTCTTTATTCTTTTTTTTCGTCTGTTTTGACGCCTAATCGTTTACATACAGATATATATATGTATATATGTATGAATAGCGACGCATGTCATGTTTGTTTTGTTTGCATCTGTTGTCTATTAGCATGTTCTCAAAAAAAGTTAGGTTAAACCTTGATATTGCTCATCATTGTTTTAGATTAATAAGAAAAATTTTCGCTTCTACATTAAAGTGTACACTGTATTTAATATTCAAACAAGAGTTGTTCATGATGAAGTATGTTCTGTTTATAACGGTAAAGCTTCTTATCTTAAGATAGTTGAAAGATGATCTAAATGGTTTTGTGAAAGTCAATAAGAGGTTGAAGATGAAGCACGCACTACTTGATTTTGTATCTTGTTTTTTGTTCCGTCACGACTATTTTTTTGTTTATCCTAACATGTACAAATAGCTAGGCGTTAAAAATGAGTCGAGAAAAAAGAACAAAAAATAAAGAGAGAAGAAAACAAAAATCAAGAAGAGAATAGATATCGACGATCATATAATCGTTACACATGATAGCCAAAAAGGTTTTATTGAAATTTTACTACTATGATTTCAGTGGAAGAATGAAAAAAAGAGCATTGTTTTTACTATCAGTCAATATAGAGAGGAAATTTTTATAAGAAATTGAAGTACCATTGTTACTATTCTTGGTATGCCGTAAGTAATTCGACAATAGTTAAATTAACAACACTTTAATAATACGAAAAATTTCTGCGATCAAGTCTCTAATATTATCACTAACGACATATAAATACCATACTTGGTTATTTTTATTTGTAAATATTAAAATTGATAATCTTCTAGTAAAATATGCAAAAAAATTCCAAGATGTGAGCAATTAAGAAAGTTTATTTTAACATTTTTTCTTCATATTAATCGAAATGTTAATTTATATTTTTTACACGTAGTTATCAGATTTTTTTTTCTTTTCTTATTTGGTATTCAAGAAAGAACGGCACGTTGTATATTTATGGCAATGAATACTTTTTCTCTCTCTCTTATGTTTTCAATCATTGATTTTTTTGTTGATTTTCATATTTACTTTATACATCAAAATGTAAATTATACAATAATTCAACACGAATTAAAATAGGAATCATGTTAATCAAATTTCAAAAGAATATTGTATAACTAATGTATAGAATGAAATCATAATATAATTTCATGACAACCGTTGAATTCTTAAAAGAACTATTGCAGAATGCTTCACCGACAGAAACAAATGACTTTTCGCATCATAAAGTGTTGCCTCTATACTTCTGTTGCATATGTCATAAACATTCTAATACTCCTCTCAAATCGCCTGATTTACTTAATGTAGTGGTTCTAAATGATTGAGATCAACAGCCCACTAGGGATACTATTCTTGCAACATGGCTAAATGTCGAATGTATCAATGTCTTGCCATTTATTTAACATCATTATTTCTTTTTCTCTTTTTATCTCTCCGTCATTCTTACCCTCGATCTGTCAATATATAGATATATACTAAAGCAATAGATAGATATGATTCATTTATTTGAAGAAAAATTGATACTCAACGCATTAGAGCGATAAATGGAGTTTTTTCGTCTTTTTTTTTAACAAATCAATCATTAAAAAAAAAAAGATCTGTTGATTCATTGAC